GCCTGATAAAAACTCCTTATCCCATTAAAGATAAACCAGGTCGCTTTTCGTTTCTATCCAAAACGACACATAATTGGCAAAATAAAATCAACTTATTCTCCACAAGATCCCAAGGGAACCTTTGGACCAGACTTGAAACTACGTAAGCTCCACTAACTGAACAATCCAAGTGAATCTGTAAATATTTCCCAACCTAATGAAATGTTTGAATGTCGTCCCTGGACAAATCCCCTAGCTCTTTGGGACCCGTAATCAATAGAAATGTTGCAAAATATTATGTTCATATACCTAGCAGGGCAGTACCCAATGTGTCCCAATGATAAATTTAGCGCGGTTTTGTCTTTAAACTTACACCACGGTCTGTTAGGTGCATACAGGGGTGCATATGTAGTTTTCAGAACAAAGCAGCAGAAAAGGAGACTACTAAGAGTAACTACTGCACGTTTCAAAATAAGTGCTGAGTTAGTCCTCCAATTAGAAATTTAGTGCTTTGGTTTTAGAGCTACAGTAGGTTTCATTCGCGTGTAAAAATTAAAGACGTCATCAAAACGTGGATGGTAGAAGAGACTAAAACAGATTTTTGTCCAAACCAATACAGAACCCAAAATGTTTAGTTTGGGGACTACGGCTCCAAGAGTTCCAAAATGTTCGAATCTCTTTTAATTTTCTTCTCAACAAACACTTGGGAGAATGGAATCCACGACTTTGTGTAGGTTTTTTAATATTCCCTTTCCGATTTTATAAAAATATTCCCAAAATTCCTACTCCAAGTTTGCCCACCTGTAGGTGTCCTTTAAACATGAAAATATCATCTTCCGGGGGTGAATTTTTTGGAGGCGCGAATTTACCCGGGTAAGTTTTCTGGAGTGATTTTACTGCTCGCACGAGAGACACTCTCCTCAATTTCTCCTCAGCTTTTCATAGGTCTCTTAAAGTAAATCTCGACCCTTTGTCAAGTTCCTCTCGGGTGCCTCGTAAGTTCTCTCAAGAAGAATTTATACCACGATTTCTTTGTAATACAAATTAACGCTCTTCGGGCAAGGATTACCGAACCACCCTGTAATTTTAACCGCCCGCTATAAAATGGCATCCAACCGGTGGGCTTCGAACCAGCAACGCCTGTAGAGAAGAGTCTCAAATAAATCTATACCAGTGGCGTAACGAAGAATGTACTTCAGAAACAAAAAACAAAAACCAACGTTTTTACTGTCATCGTATGGAATTAAGGTCCGGTTTTAAGAAACCTGCTCGAACAATAATTTTCAGCCAAGAAAGTAACAAATCATCGAAGCTCCAGTAGTACAAACTCAAAAAATGGACCTAACAATTGTCGTGAAATTAATGCAGACAGTAGGACAAGAAGAATTGAAAGCAGGACACATTCAGCAAGAACGAAGACGACAAAAACAAGAAGAAAAACAAGAGCAACAAACAGAAACAAATTATCAAAAGTCAAGAAAAGAATATGGAACAATTACGAAACGAAGAAAACAGAGGAGAAGTCAGATTGAAGAGCTCCAAAATCTGTAGTAGGGGAGATGGCCCATTTTCAGCCCCTACTGAAAGAAGAGCAATTAGTTCACTTCCCTCAAGAAGTAGAAAATATTTTGATTGGGTCCGGAGAAAAAATAGTACAGAATTTGGTCAACACGCTTGAAAGGATAATCAGCAAGATAACGGAAACCCAGAAACACAAGATAGAACAGACAATAGAGAAAATTATGGAGGATGAGTCCAAGATCAGATAACTTACCAAAACCGAAACGATTATCAGCAAAGTCACAGAAACCAAGAAAACAAAGACAGAAGAAAAAATAAATATGTCCATGATAGAAGACAAGTAAACGCTGTGCAATACAGAAGAGTTCGAGAACGGAGTCCAACTAGGAGATGGAACCAAAATGACAGAAATTATGAAGAAAGGGACGATCCCCACGAAGGCAGAATAGAGGTCAGGGAAATGAGTATAAGCTGGATCAGCAACAACAAAGGGAACAAGCTATACAGGAAAATAAACAACTCAATTCCTCAATTATTTTCCTGCATGGTTCATCACCCCATTTAGAGATGGATCAACCAAGAGTATTTTCCGGGAACAAGCTAATCACATCAATTTCGTAAAAAGTTTTATCCAAAGAACCAAACTCACTAAAATTAAACAACCAAAAACATCAATAACTAACAAGAAAAAATAATCAAGCTCATTGTAACTGTGGTGGAGGGGATAGGAGAGATGGTCAAAGAAGTTGATATTTTGCAAAAGAGAGAGGGATTGCAAAAGAATTGGGTACTGAGAAAAGTACAAGAAAAGCGAAAAGCAGTTTTAGATTATTATTATTCTTTGAGAATGCAAAGAGAACAAGAGGTGAATAGAAAAATAGGAGAAATTTCTAATAAGGGAGAAGAAGATTAATTGAAGACCTACAACAAAAAAGAAATTTATGAAGATGAAAAAGAAGCTATGGGAAGCCAACCGATCCCTGAAAGAAGTGTGGACAGGGTAGAGAAGGAAATTGAAGAAATCAATATCTGGCAAGAGAGAGTTAGAAGAAAGACTAGCTAAACTACAAGAAGATCTTTTCAAAGCACAACAGTCAACTTTGGATCCCCAGTTGAGGGAATCAACCTTTTAGAAAAACAGAACAGAAATACCAAAAGAGAGTCCGTTTTACTACAAGAGAACCAAAAATTAGAACAATTGCAACTGAAAGATGATCTTAAGCTGGAAAAAAAATTGCAAATATAAAAGAGAAGTTAGGATTAACTGAACAAATACCACAAGATTTCAAATTACCATTTATATTAGATGATAAAGTCAGAAGTTACGAGTGGCGTTAGAAAAAAATGCTGGGTTAGAAAAAGAAGTAGATATCATCAACCAGGAAAAGAGGTGATGATTTTTACGAGGAAGAAGAAAAAGTGAACATTTTTAAGACAGAATCAGTTAAGAGAATGCTGAGAAGAAACCAAAAATTTTGGAACAAGAGAAAGAAAAAGAAAGAAAGATACAGACCACTAGAAAAAAAATCAATAGTACTACAAACTTACAGTTAGTGACCCACATCTTACATAACCAAACCTAATACTTTAAATATACTGTTTTCTAGAACTAGAAAGTTTTATTTTCACTGTACTTTTTGTAAAGAAGCTTGATACTTTTATTTTTAGAATTTTAGAAACTCTAAGTAGGTTATTTCCGATTCAACTGTTCAGTGGTTTTAAAAAACAAGGAGGGGGTACTGTAATGGCTTACCGTTTCTCAAAAATTAATTTCTTTTCACCTTCAAAAGTAGGGTAGAATTTGAATTGGACAGTGTAACTTAATGGATAGATTCAGTTAACAGCATACGTATTACCTATTAATTGGGATTATGGTGCGACAATTATGATTCAGAAAAGAAGGAATGTGTGGAATAAAAAAACATTCATTCGCTCTCTGCCAGAGGTCATGTATAAGATTCGGAGTGTGCATATTGACTAGGAAGCTTGAAAGGTCAGCTAGAAGTGGAAACGTGGTTTCGCAAAATTTCCAGAATTCGCCAGAAAAATGTTCATAGGGCGACTGCTGCACGATTAAAGAAGAAATTGAGAAGAGCAATGCATTCTAAATAAACATGATGCGAGAGAATACGATTAGAATTTGGTGATACTGAGGAACTTGATGGAATCTGAAAAATTAATTTAAGACCAAATCGAAAGAGAATTTGATGAGAACCTGCGAATAATTTTAGGGAATTTTAGGAAATTTTACGCTCTTTAGAAACTCCAAAAGATATAGGGTAGTCCGTATGAAAAAATGTTCTTTAGAGTCGTATACAATCCAAACACCCCGTATAAAAAATTGGATCGCCATGGATTCTACATAAAGTGCTCTGAGGAAGATATTGTCAAGATCAATCTTAATAATAAGACAGTTATGGGGCATTAAAAAATCGAGAAACGCCTCCTAGCGGCTAAACGATTAGAGATATTCTGTTTACGAGAGTAATTTTTCTCTTTAAAATTGAGCTCCAGACACCTAGATCTTAAAATAAAGGGTGTTCATAAGAGTGTCCAATTTGGATCGCCTGACGATTTACCTTGATCTTGAGATTCAGGCAGAAGGCGATCTATTTTGAAAGAAGAAGAATAAAAATCGATCTGTTCCATGTTTTTTCAATAAAACATAGTAACGCTAAAAATGAATGTTGGCCAACAAATTTCCAGTTAGAAAAACACCACAAGGAGACAAGAGCATTCAAAGGGAAACTTACAGGAAACAACGTTTTCTATTATCGAATAATCTGCAAATCATAGATGCTAGAAATTTGTTCCACAGCAGAAAAATTTTAATTATCCACATTGAACTGCAAATACACCCTTACATATAAGTTGCACTTGCATCATCAGGATGTAGCATATTGCAAGTAGAGCACGGTGATAACTTTATTTGATGATTCGTGGGCCTACGTGTATTTTGCATGTTAAGACGTAGGTGCACTTCATAAATTTAACCAAACTTTCTTCCTAGCGCACTGCCAACAAGGAAGTTCAAAAATAAAAAAAATGTGCTTCAAGATTCCCAATAAGGATCTGGCCAATCTGGATACTTATTAAATTTTCTAAACTGTAAACCGAACAAACGGACGTTGGTGTTTTTATCGCACACAGTGTCATTGCAACTAATAGCGTGATGTGCTATAAGTGTTTTCTAGATAACCGTGTGAAAAAGGCATCTTATTACCACATTTACTCTTCTTACAAGAATATTATAACCAGACACGTTTTCAATAAGAAAATAAAAGTGTAGGTATACAGTTAGCGTAGATGTTGCGATTTATGAAATTGTTTACTTGCAATTTTTTTGGTTAAAGTTTTGATGTGCACAATACGGCAAGTTGAAGACCAAGTATGGTCCCTCCTCACCTGGACAGGTGACGTGAAAGATCGTGGGGATCATCGACCCTTCTTACTAAAGCAATCCGACGAGTACCCCGACAGTAGTAGTCTGTAAATTTAGTTCCATCCTTCGCGAGTTGAAGTACCCAGTTTGGTACCACAAGAAGTGACATCCCAGTTGACGTTCGCCGGCTGAGTTGCACTGCAGATGCCATCGCGAGCACTTTTCGCATAATTATTCTAATCGCGTTTTAATTTACTTAAAGTACTTAATTATAGAGTGAATGTTACATTAATTTAAGTGAAATGTTACGTTTTTTATTATGTGTTGGAATCGTGTGCGCTCAAGATGTTACAGGTACGTTTTCATGCTCGCTCAAAAATTGCACAAAAAATCATCAATCGTGCTAAATGACGCTCATCTAAACACACACTCAAGAGGACTTTTGAACTTTGTAAATATTTTCTGCTGGACAATTTCCACAAACTGGGACAATTCCCCTAATGAATTGTAAATAAGTAATTTTGTCATTCGAACTGTGTATCTGTACATAGCGATTATTACTGCTGATGGTAACAATAAACAATTACGCAAACTCGCATTAGCATTTGTGCAAACACTATTGTTATTCTACCGTAGACATAGAAAGTTATAATATAAAACGCACAGTAATTACTCTACTTTTTTGAAATGGGACCATCGATACTAATGGGCCTTCTTTTTCTAGCAAAACCATTGTCATGGAATATTTTTAGGGAACGTCCTTCCTGTCAACGGATATACGTTCCATAGTGTTGCACAGATGTTTCAATAAGCAGAATTAATGAACCGATAGATCGAATTAAAACGTTAATTTGTAGTCGAAAGTTTTTGTTCGTCTTCGTCAACATTTGCTGTGCGTAGGTTTTTGTTATAATTTTATTATGTGCGTGCGTTTTCAATTTAATTAGTAAGTTTATTGTAAAAATGGTGTGCGTCTTCTGTATTTTGAGTTCACGCATATTGACTATGTCATGATAAAAAGGAGAGGACCGTGTATTTCTGTATTCATTGATATTCATTACCTATTCTATATTCAGAGGTCCAGGAAGACTGCGATGGTCTTTATCGTTTCAATGATCTTTCACATTCGCATCAATCGATGTCGGCATAAAAGCTCGCAGCGTCTAAATTCCATTTCTTGCGCGTTTCAAAAATAAAGAGGTAATCAAATAAGCACCTTTCCAACTATAAAATAAACACAGAACATTTAAAAGTAACCCTTGCGATTGCTCCAGAAAGTCTTCCTATGCCTAGAAAATCTAAAAATTTTCCTAATTTTTTCTGTCAATATACAATGTGTTCGAGATAAGAGGGTGACCTCAATATCTCTTTTACTTGGCGAGATACGCGAAATTTGTCAAATATAATTTTATATATTACCATTGAATAATAAATCTGATTCTTTATTCAATGATATGACACATACGATCTATCCGATTGCATATTGAAATTATCGGTATCACATTCGGTTTAATCGGAATTGGACACAACTCTGGGTTTTCAATTGCAATGCCTTTATTTTTTAAAATCTTTGAAAATAGCAATCAATTTTCTGTGCGACAACATAAAATATGCATATGGTGCATATACAAAAAATGGCAAAATTCGTGATTCAATATTTAACAATAATAATTTATTGCTGTTTTGCACAGAAAAAATTATCAAAGTCCTCATGGGAGATCAAAGGGACTTCAGCGCATTTTTGCGGGACAGATCAGTATTCATTAGCCAGTTTTGGCTCCACCATCAATAAGGTCTTGTCGAAAACCCTTTGCCGGTACCCACTTCCGACGTCCCGTTCACTCGCAATTTGGTTTGGAAGTTTTGACCTCGCTTTTGACTCTACCATCAGTAAGATCTCGTCGGGGGCTTCTATATCCCCTTTGTTAGTACCCGCCTCCGACGTCCCGTTCACGCGCCATTCGCATTTTGGTAAATTTCGCTAAACACCCCCCCATTAAAATAGTAATCTGGGGCTCTTCTCGAGCTTTTATTGGCGACACAAGAAACAGAGACCGCGATTAGAGCTCTACGAAAAAGTCGACTACCCCTCGAAGACGCGCGCGAGATGGTTAATTTCCTCCCTAAGAAAAAAACAAAATTCCGCCACACAGGAGTTATCTTTCCGACGACACCAATTTGAAAACAATCGGACCAAAACTGTAGTAAGAAAAAACTGAAAAATATCCAGGTTAGTACACCACACTCGCGGATGGCGCACTCCTGGTCTTTCTACAAGCGCCAGCTCGCCAGCCAAAGTGAGATTAAAAGCTACTTTTTACAAATAAATTGAGAGATGCCCTCCTCGAAACTTTCTAACTTCTGCTGTAAGTGTTTGCACCAAATGTAATTGGAACTCTGTATACGAATTCGCGTGGTGTCACTTTTAACTTCAACTTTTTTAATTTCGTCCGATTTTTTTATTTTGGTCAAATACCTTGGATTCACACCTGACATATCCTGAAGATTCTGTGGATTGTCTATTTTCAAGTTCTGCAGACCCTTTGAGCTCTTCCGTTTTTACATTCTTTCGGATTCTTTTTATTTGCTACTTGTTCAAATTGACCAAACTTCAAATTTTTCGAAATCTTTTGGACCGTTCTCGACATTCAGTTTCAGATTTTTCCACTTTTTTCCTATATCCAATTCATCACATTTCTCAGTTGAGCTTTTGAATCCATTGTATTCGTCAGATTATTTAAACTGTTCAAAGTTCCTCCAAATTATCAAAACCTTGGGTTTCTTGGAATTTCTCGGATTTTTTATTCTTCAGATCCACACGCTTCTCAAAATTCTATAAAATTTTTCGGTTTTTTGCTATGTAGAGGAAGATTTCAAATAAGGGTGGTTCGATGTATACATAAATTCTTCTTGTAAAGTGTGATTCTCTTTTTTTTCTTTGTTGTGATACTTTTGGAACTTACCTTTTTTTCTTCTACTTCCAGCAAGCTCAGGTAACTAAAGGGTTTAATAATAAGAAAGAATTTAGTTAATTCTTTTTCCACTGGTATCTTGTTAATGTCGAGGTCAATAATTGTAATAGAAATTTGAAAAAATCAAATCTGAATGTGACTTTCATAAATTGTTGTACCTATCTTTGAACTTTTAATAGTTTTTACCCTTGTTAGTAAAGATTAATATTTGCAACCACAATTTATTAAAATTATTAAATCAATATGGTAACTTTGTTTACCGAACAAATTTAAATTTGTAAATATATGGTCTTTAATTATACCGAAATATGACTGCGACACGCTTGTGAATTAAAATAATGAAAATGGGTGCAGAGAGGGCACCTTAATTCAGCGGTTTCAACAAAAAAAATTGCGGGAGAAATCTGAGGTTATGTTACTTATGTTTCGTCATTCTAAAGTTGGAGAAGCTGGAAAATCTTAAGAAGTCACATTTAATTTTTTTAAGAGGTTATAGTAACTTCTTCGTCTACCAAATTGATATAGATTGATATAGAGTTTCACGTGTATATTAACAGTTAATGTAATAAAAGTAGCATAATAAGTATAATATACAATATAATTTTAAGTTTAGTTTGACAAAATAAGCGACACTTCCAAGTTACATGTGGATACACGTTAATAAAACCACTTTTGGAACCGCAAACTTTAACGCCTTAGCAAAGAAGAACGTTGTAAAGAGAGTTACATTTTGCATCTGGCAAGGATCGCCTTTTCCGTATCGACCACCGAGAGGGAAAACCAGAGACACCTCTCGCATCTTCCATAGACCCATTCTTTCGTATTTTCGCCAATTAACTTCGAACGCTATTTTGGTATCAGCCGGTGACTACCATCGACCACCTTATCACTCGAAAGGGGAATGGATACCTAATTTTCGCACCTTCCATAGATCGCGTCTTTGTTATCGACCCATTATTATTTAACGCCTTTTTCGTTTCAGCCTCTGACTAGCATCGACCGCTTTATCACTCGAAAGGGGAAGGAACCTTTCGCATCTTCCATAGACCGCCTCCTTCTTATCGACCGCCGATTAACATCGAACGCCTTTTTCCTATCAACCGGTGATTAAGTGCAATCACGGTGTTGTAGTAGTAGTATGCTGCAATATACAAGGTGTCCGAACGAAAATGTATAGAATTACGACAAAGAAATATCGCCCAATGACGGAACATAATTTCTAGTCTTGAGAAATGTAGGATCTGAGTTTGGGGTCTATCGGGTGATCAAAAAGAACTGCAGACAGTTTAAATTGGACGCTTTAAGTTTTTTACTTAAGGAATTGGCAAACATGTTTGGAAGGTAGTTTATTTATGTATTAGTGATTAAATTGATCCACCACTGCTTTTACATAAATGACATTTGGTATGTTACCAACGTTATACATGTTTAGTTTTACGGAAAATTCAAACTGTCCGCACTACTTTTTGATCACCCGGTATATTGCATTACTGGGTAGTGGAAGCCATTTCAAGTAGTGCATTCGTTAGTTTAATCATCTCTTAATTTTTTGCTTTGAAACTTTACATCGTGGTTTCTCGGTAACTAATCGATTGATTTTCAAAAAATTAAACGGTGGCATAGGAAATAAAAACCCCTCCCCATGTACGGGTCATTTGACCCCTCGTTCGCTACTGCTAGTTATTCTTCTACATCCTTGGTCGTTCATCCTGGACGATAGAGCCGCTCAATAAATGTAAGGAGCCATAAATTAAGTACTAAAATTTATTTTGTAACTTGTTGGAAAAGCTATACATGCACGTGCAATTGTTTCTCGTTTTGTTTTGTTTATCTCCCTTGCCAATAAAATGATAGTTAGTTTTAATTTTGCAATACCATTGTTACAGAAGTCTGTATATGTTTGCTATAATATACCCGAGTATATACCACTATCTTCTGCATCTAGTTTTGAAATCGACATCAACTAATTTTGTAAAAGTAAAAACAGGTGATTACGTAATTTATTAGTGCAAACTTGCTCATGGACTATTAAATAATAATAATTACAACGTAATTTTCTTAGAACGTACCTATGCATAATAAAATCTTGAAAGGTGTGAAATAAAAAACGAGATAATTACGCGGCTTGAAGCACATCAATAAAAATTAGGAAGATGTATAATTGAGTTGTCATAAACCTCGTTTTTTTCCAAGACAAATGAGTTTCGTAACGTATTAATGAATTTAAATACAATAGAAGTATTAAATGAAATTATCTAAGATGATCTCTTCATTGTTGTGTAACTTTAAAAAACAGTAATACGTACTAAGCGATGCTCTTGTGGGCAATAATTAAAACTGTTATTTCTATATGAAATTCCTTCCAGTATCGAGATATAAATA